ATAATGAATAATAAAAAATAAAAGTTAATTAAAAAAGCTACTTCACAGCTTATTTAACAAACACTACTCAGCAACTTAAATCTATAATCCAACAGCTATACCAAACAGATTAACAGCTTCTGATTAAAGTCATAATCTATAATCTGTTAAGTTATAATCTATAATCTATTTTAACAGCTACACCAAACAGCACCATAGCACAGAGTGATGAGTGGGATTTTGAGGGTATCTTTGGTTTGATTTTGGGAGAGTAGTTTTTGAGATAAAAAGTACGAAAACTTGTTTGGTTTGTCTTTTTTTAGAAGTGGTTTTGAAAAATTATTTTAGAGAGAGAGTTTTAAAAAAAAAGTGATTGATTTGATGTGTATGAGAGAGAGTGATTTTGGAAAGAAGTAAACCAAACAAATTTTCAGATTTTTTTAAAAAAAATTTGTTTGATTTGATTATTTTTAAAAATTTGTTTGTAGAGAATTTTTTCCAAATTTTTTTTCCAAAATCAAACCAAACAAGCCCTGAGAAATTACAGGGAATCTAGGAATCAATGAAAGATATAAATTTGGAAAAAAAAGTGTACGGACTCATAAGAATTTAATAAGGAAAGTAATGTATGATTGAAATTTAATTTTATAAAATAGAATTTATATATGAAATTAATTCCAATCATTGAATATATTTTTTAAATTTTTTTTAAGATTGTAGAATTGCTAAAGTCCTATTGACGTTTGCCAAAAAAAAAATGACAAATTGTTTTCTTGGGTTAAAAAATTACATTCCACAACTTCAATAAAAAAATTTAAGTTTTGATTTATCCGATGCAACTGTGGTTTTTTTTTTTTTTTTTAATTTCAATGAGTAGAAAATTATTTATAAATATGAAGTGTATACATATATCAAGGAAAGAATAATTAAAATAACAAAATGCAACAGCCGACTCAACAAAGAAACTCTACAATACGAGAATATAAAAGTGTAACTAGAGCTAGCAATTTGTTTTAGTGATGAAAATAATTTTTAGAGCGAATTATATTAAAGGTCCTTATAGTTTGGATTTTGTGTCATTTTGGTGCATGATTTTTTAATTGTGACATATTTGACCTTAAATTTTGACTCTTATTCCAATTAAGGACAATTGAAAATACCATTGCTCAATCTCAAGGGCACAGGCATCAATTTGATAAAATATAAACTAATTTGATAAAAATAAATGTCAAAAAATATATTTTTTATTTTCTAAAAATTATTTCTACCCACCAAAGATAAAATTATGTAAAATTGATTAATATTTTACACATTTATTTATTTTTTTATCAAATTAATTTTTATTATGTGTTTTGATGATGATCATATAATATGTGATTGTTTTTATTTTTATTAAATTAGTTTTTGTTTTTCTAAAAGTCAAATATGGCGACAAGTTTGATATCATTATTAAATCAATCTATTAAATCAAAAAATCAAAAACTAAAAACATTTCATATATTAAATATATTGATTACACATTAAAAGCTTAATAACTACCCATTACATGATTATATCATTCAAACACATAACAAAAATTAATTTGGTAAAAAAATAAATAAATGTGTAAAAGATTTATCATTTTACATAATTTTATCTTTGATGGGTAGAAATAATTTTGAAAAATTCAAAAATATTTTTTTGACATTTATTTTTATCAAATTAGTTTATATTTTATCAAATTAACGACTTTACCCTTAAAATTGAGCAATAGTATCTTCAATTGTCTTTATTTGGAATAAGGTTTATGAGAGGGAGATTAATGATATGGACTTTGTGCCAGACAGATTTGGGCCGGACAGAGTTGTGCCGGACAGATTTGGGCCGGACAGAGTTGTGTCGGACAGATTTGGGCCAGACAGAGTTGTGCCCGACAGATTTGGGCCGGGCAAAGTTGTGCCAGACAGATTTGGGCCGAACAGGTGTTGGGCCAAGTTGCGTGGCCCGGCCTTGAAGGAAGCTGCTCGGTTAAGGCAGCGCGTTGATTGACCGAGCTGTAAGGATCTGTGATTACGAAGCCGGTCAGGTGAAAAGTCCAGCACCCGGAAAGGCAAGGTTGAACCGAGGTACCTGTTTGCTCGGCAGGTAGGTTGACCGCAGACAAGCGTGAGTAGTCCCGAGCTCGGCTTTGCCGAGATGCCGCCGAGTCCGGTCCTCATCTAAGCTTAGCTGTTGGAGTACTTGGGCATGAAGCGCAGCATGGCAGACGATGGCCGAGATGGAATTGCCCGGCTGCCGAGCTCCCAGGAGAATGGGCGGACAGTTGGATTAGGTGATGTTCAGCAAGGTTTATGCTGACAGATGGGATAGCGGAGCCACGTGTCAGGAGATGACTGGGAGTGGATATGGGGCGCAGAGGGTATATAAGCATGTCTGCGCCCCCCATACGCGGACACACGAACATCTCTGTAAGGAATTCTTACACTCAAACACTCTCTCCCTTTTCTCTATCCATCCTAAGGTGTGTGCTAACTTGATCGTCGGAGGGTTTTTCCGGCCACACACCGCCGGGTAGCTCACCGTTACTTGCTCGCAGGTGATTGGACATCGACGGAGCTCGGAAGAAAGGAGTACGGGCTTGCCGGAATATTTGCTCCCCGTACAGTTTAAAATTCAGAGTCAAATGTGTTACAATTGAAAAATCAATGACCAAAGTGACACAAGTCCCAAACTATAGGGACTGCTAGTGTAATTCACTCTAATTTTTATATAAAATATCAAATGTTTTCTTATGTTTAGTTATAATTATAAAACTAGCATTGTAGGAGAGGTAGTGGTGGATGTGGCGGTGGGATGGTGGCAGTGGTTGAGGGGGTTGGTAATGGGGGACATGGTGGTGGGTTGGAGGTGGTAGTGGTGGTGGTAGTGGCAGTATAGCAGTAGTTATTAAGTAACATTGATAAGATTTTAACTAGAAAAATAATTTTCACTAATGTTTTATAAATATCTTTTTGTCTAAATAAATTTTCGTTCAATTTTGGTTTATGTTGGACCAAAATGTAAATTTACTTTTCAATTGTAACAAACATATCATGACTTTGAAAAAATATATCATCAAAATTAGATGGCCCAGTGTTCAAAATTGTCCTAAATTTGTGAATTTGTTGATGGTGAGTTAGTGAATAAGAGCAGCCACAAAGTCTAAAATTTCAAACTAACATGCTTTGCTTTCTGTTAAATTAAGTTGGGGTTTAGGCTAAACTTTTTGACAATTCTCATCTAATTCTCCCAACCATGGTTTGAACTACCCTTTATCCCTCTTATAACATGATTTTATTAAGCTTTGATTAATTTATTTGCGACCAAAAAAAAAGTAAAGTAAATATTAGCGAGATAGAAAACACATGTATACTCTTCATTCTGATCTCCCTCCCCCAGCACTTTTCAAACATTTGAATAGAATTTCGCTTACTTTCTGCCTAACTTAAACTTTTGCAAAATAAAAAATGCAGCATGCATCCATGGAATATTAAAACTGAAAATTTTCCCCACATAACCATATTTCTTCCCTGGTGTGCTCTTAATTGAAAAATAAAAAATAGAAAAATGTATATAAAAAACTTTTGAGTTAATTATTGTAATTTTGTCACATTTTGACTGACGTTCTTTCCAAATCATTCTTTAAAAAGATTACTATCCCAAATAATAATAATAATGATAATTCAAAAAATATCCGAGTCAACGATCAAGATTCATTTAAGATGTACTTCACAACATCAACTTTAAATATGCACCATAAATTAAAAATTCTTGATGTTATTCTTGATACAATTTTGGTACCATAGGCTTTGGGTTCTTTAAGTGATACATGGACTAGTTGCAAATAGATAGATTAATGATATTCATTTCGTGAGTTACGAAAGAGTTATTTCAATATATCTTCATTTTAAATTTTGATTACTTCATTCCAATCATAGCAAAACGTCAACTCATGTCTAACGAAGCAGAGGATATTTGGTAAAAGAAAAGTGCTAAAGCACAACCATGTGTCAAATGAATTACTACTAGTATTGTTTTCAATTTACAAATTACAGGTGTGTGAACTCGAACGTGGCTATATTATGAGGCAATTTGGGAAGCTAACTAAAAGTTAGTTTTTAATTTTTAATTCATTTTAAATTATATTACTTCTCACATTTTTTATATATAAAAAATTAAAAAAATTAAAAAATTAATTTTTAATCAACTTTCCAAATCAGCCAGAGTATGGTGTCGGCCAACAAATTCATCAAGTGAATGCATTAGGTATAGTGTATGTACGGAGGCGAAATATCCTCCGCTCTCCGTACTCCTTGAACTCAAGCTCCGCGTAACGGCGTCTGTCCTGGAAACACAAAAACGGTGAGCTGCCCGGCGGCGTGTCGCCGGATAGACCCTCCGACAGTCAAGTTAGATCACTTGAAAAGGAAGAAGAGAGATCTTTTAGAGAGAGAGTGAGAGTTGTTCAGGTTGCTTACCTCCAATGTCCTCCATTCCTCCTTTTTCTAGGCTGGCCACCCACCCTCAGGAGTTCTGCGCGCACTACTTCTGTCGTCCTTAACTGGATGAGCGGTTGTACTGCCCTCTCTATTCCTTACACGTGTACGCGTCAATACCGCCAAACAACAATGGCCAAACTGCCAAACGGTATTGACGCACACCATTGGCGGGTTTCTCCTCTTGCACTCCAATTGGACCTGGCAATTCCCACCGAGCTAGGCATAGCTCGGTCAGCTCAGCCTCAATCCAAGACATTAATTTAATTTTAGGTTGAAAGAAAATGGGGATAAAATAATCTTTTTGTTGTATTAATTTCCCTTTAATTTTAAAAAAAAACCAAACTTACTCCATTTCTGTAATACACATCCCGTTAGTTTTGATGAAAAAATTAACAGTAGTCATATTTAAACCATAGGAGATTAAAGTGCTTCAGTTCACGAACACAACGGGGTAAAATAAATTTAACCCAATTAATAATCTATAAATAGAATGTAAAAGCACTCTTCTTTCAGTTTCAAAATAATCAATATTTATAAGCAGAAATTACAATAAACAACCCAACATAGGATCTCAAACTAAATAAAAATAAAAATTCATAAGCAGCCTATTTAAACTACAGCAAACACGATGTCACACTTATTCCAATTACATGGCATTTCTCTTGCAAACCAAACAAGTAGAAGAAGAAATAAGTTTATTATACATTCACATGTTGAGAGAAAGAGAGATTCAAGGAGAAATGAGATATCTGTTAAGTGCAGTTTTGCCAATAACCCTCTTTTGAATGAGAAGCTCCTTCCTAAAGTCAGCCCAAGTGAATGGGACGTACTTTCTATTTATAGGGGGGTCTGTGTTAGGGTCCTCCAAGAGCTCTGGAGGACTGTCTATGATGGTACTAAGTGCAGGGCTTAGGAAATATGCAATTGATAGTCTGCTCTTCTCTTTGTTCACCACTGCTCTGTGTATCACACTCTTTAGCCTCCCATTTGTCCATGCCTACAGAATCCATGTAGTATATTACTTCATAAAGTATTACTTTTACCAATTAAAAAAAAAAAAGAAAAAAAAAGTTACTTATATGAACTTATTCGAAAGATATGTTTTTGAATAGGGAGAAGATTGATCCCTAAAGAGTCTCTCCTATTTTACTTATAATGACATGTCAAATTTTAATTTAGTCACGAATTCAATCATGTAAAATTCAACTCCCTTATTATGTTTTTGTAAGTGAATTGCAAATTATAAATTGTGAGTTTCTAATATGACTGGTTTAAATATATATAACTGTTTATGATTGTCAGGCATAAGATTCTCTGTCTTTAAAATTCATATTTTTTTGTTGCAATACACTTTATGTCATTCGTGTTTTGAAATCTTTGTCACATTATCCAATTGTGATAAGGGACAAAGGATTTCTTCCTAATAATCAGTACCTAAGTAGGATATAAAATATTTGGATCTTCCTAAATCATTTTGTCCCAAAATAATCTCAATTGTTTGATTATGTAAATAATCTTGAGGCACGAGAATCTCAAAATATAATCCAACGATTGCTAATATGGGAACCAAAATTAACATGATATCTTGACATGGACGGTGGACACATGCACTATCATACCACTTAGTTTGGCCCATGCTTGTTGAGGTAATTGAGGGGTATCCCAACTAAGTGAGTGGATAGAGGCTATGCCCAATTATTATGGGGGCACACTCTCATCTAAGGTGGAAGAATAATCTGAATGAGTTGTCGTCATACTCACTATATAAAAGGTTTACACTCCAACATAACCTACACATTCATAATTTTTTTGTCCTTATTCACACACTGATTTAGGTATCAAAAAATTCCCTAGCTGACCACCAGTTGTGGTCTTTTTCCTAGTGTTTTTTACGCAATCAAACCTTCGAGTTCAAACCAGTCCGACCCGTTGCACAGTGTGCTAAATTTTTCCCCAGTTAATATTTTAAGACAAAGCAATAAAAAGGTTTGGAGATAGAAGATTATGTGTGTCTTGAGAGAGAGAGAAAAAGAGAGATTACTTCAAGGGTGTCACCAATGTTGATGACAAAGGAGTTAGGGATGGGTCGGATTCCAACCCACTGATTGTCATCCTTGAGAACTTGAAGACCACCAACGTTGTCTGCCAACAATATTGTCAAGGTGTGAGGGTCAGTGTGGCTGCCCACACCTAGACATTTTTCAGGTAAGGGGCAAGGAGGGTATTTGTTAATCCTGATCATGGTTGAGTCCTTTTCTTCAAAGTTCTTTGTGAAGAAATCACTTTGAAGCCCTAACCCATTAGCCAACATCTCCATTATTGTCATTCCTAGCTTGTCTAGTGCTTCCATGTACTCCACCATTGCCTCACTGAAATTTCAACGAGCACAATTAATGAGGAAAAGGAAATGTACAGAAAAACATTTAAAAAATAAATGTCTAGTGTATATTTAAATTTAATCTATTGTCAGTCACATTCCGAATGAATATGGTCCAAATATTTCATGTGTTTGGATGATTTCTTGGATTTAAAAAAAAAAAATAGTACTTGTTTTTGTCACTAATCAATCACCAATTGTCATGTTGTCCAGCTGTTTCTCTTACCTAGTCTTACTCCTTTCACCAAACACAACCTCCCTAAAGCACCACCTAATCATATCCTAAAATCACTATAACCTCTTGAAAACTTCCTCTAGTCCAAAAATTGGATTGGTACTCTAGTTTTGGAGGTTGAGTAGGCTCATATGAAACAAATGATTACAAGCTACATCATTTTCAAGAGGAACATAATTGTAATTAAGTCAGAAAAATTATCAAAAAAGTGTCTATGGTTTGAACTTGTGTAGATTTAAACTTTGTATGGTATGATTATACCTAAAATGAATTTTATCACATATTTCAGATTTTGATATTTTTAAAAATATTTTTGGGTACATAACATTATTGGTATAAAAATTCAGTTTACAAATAATATAACCAATCAATAGAAGGAAAAATATAAGTTCAGAGTATAATTCAAATCGGTGAACTTCAAAAACATTAAAATTAGAGTCTTAATTTTTTATTCACAAATCAGTAATTATTTTTTGAGGACACCGTTGAATCGTAATTTTTCTTTTCAAATTAAAATGATGTAGTATTATTATTATTCACCTAAATGGTTGATGTTGATCCCCAAACACCTTCTTAGCAAAACCCAAAACCTGTTGAGGAGATTGAAGCAATTGCAATATCTCAGCCCACGGCAAGTTCTTCCCATAATCTGGATTAGTAGTACAGTAACCCAGTGGCATAGTCGCCGATCTCGCTCCCTTCAGCTTCTCCTCCATGGGTAGGTCGAACATCTCGTTCAACCGAGCCTTCATGTTCTCTACTATCTCCGATGGCACGCCATGGTCGACCAGCTTGAAGAACCCCCATTTGTTGCTAGCCGCTACCATGTCACGACATACTTTCTCGCAGTTTTGATCTTTCTTTGCATTTAGAAGTCCAGTGGCATAATCAGGAATTTAATTCAATGAGTCATTTAGGGTCTATTTAATAACGTTTACATTTTGAGTTTATATTTATAAAAAATTTATAAATTAATTTTTATTTATTTTTTGAAAAACATAAACTACAAATGCGTTTGGTAATTGACAAAATGTTTAAAAAATTTTAAAAATATAAAAAAAAAAAGTGAGAAATGACAAGTAGTGGCAAGTGGCGGCGAAAGACGGTGGTGGAAAGTGGTGACGGTGGGTGGTGGGTAGCGGGTGGTGGTGGTGAGTGGATGGGTGGGTGACGGTGGCGGTTGGTGGGGGTGGTGGCAGTTGGGTGGCGGATGGCGAATGGCAAGTGGCGGTGGGTGGTGACGGGTAGGTGGTGGTGGTGGATGGGTGGGTAACGGTGGCAGGTGGTAGGTGGTAGCAAGTGGGTGGTGGTGGTGGCGTTGGTGGGTGGTGGGTGGTAGTGGTAGGGGGGGGATGGGACCTGGTGGCAAGTAGGTGGCGGGTGGTGGGGGGTAGCGAGTGGGTGGCGGATGGCGGATGGCGGGTGGTGGTGAACTGGTGGTAGCGAATGTGGGTGGTGGGTGGTGCCTGGGTGACGGTGGCGGGTGGTAGCGAGTGAGTGAGTGGGTGGTGGTGGGGTGGTTGGTGGGTGGGTGGTGGATGGGTGGTAGAGATGGGTGGTTGAGTGGCTGGTGGCAAGTTAGGCAGCCGGGTGGTGGTAATGGTAATGGGTGGGTGGTGGCAGGTGATGGCGTGGAGAGTGATGCGTGGCTGTGTGTAGGTAGGAGCGAATGGTGGTGGTTGGCGAGTGGTGGGTAGGTAGCAGGTGGGTGGTGGCTGCAGATTGGCAGGTGGGTGATAAAAAAAAAAAATTGTGAAAATTGAAAACGGAAACACATTTTTTGGAGTACACATTTTTGAGTACAACATTTTCTTGGCCAAATTTATAAACTGAGCACACTGATTATAATTAAAATTTTTACCAAACAAAGTTTTTATTTGACGTGTTTTTAAATTTTTGTAAATATAAAACTTGAAAATTGAAAACGTATAGTGTTACAAACGACATCTTAATAAAGAGTTTTAAAAAATATTTTAAAATTTAATGAAAAGTGTTTTATATTATAAATTTTTTTGTTATAAGCATTAATGTCATATTGTTAAAAGTAATTTTGAGAGTAAATTTTTTTTGAAAGCAAATTATGTTGGTAGTTTCAATATTTTTGCCTTTTGTGTTTTTGATTTCTATATTTTAAATTGACTCAATTTTGATAATAAATTTATAATTTTGTTTTAATTTGATCTAGTTAATTACGATTGTTAATTTTTTTTATTAAAATAATGCAAATATAAATGATGTGCATTATGCTTTTATATGTAAAATTTATAAATTTATTAACTTCAACCAATGAGTGACTATTTTCTTTGAAAAAATCCGAATCAATGTTATTAATGATTACATTAGTACAAAATCTATAAATTAAGGGACAAAGTCGAATTAATTAAAAATTATAAGAACAATGACACTATGAGCAAAATGGTTAGAGACTAATAATGTAATAATTTACCCAATTCTAAATTTAATTGTGAATATCTAAACTTTTTAAAATTGTATGAAGATTACATATATTCCTAAGAACGTTTTCATGTTTTTGCATTTTTAGAAAACAAAAACAAAACAAAAAACCAGCTGTTCACATAAAAAGAAGAAGAAGAATATCTTGTAATCACATGAAAACAAAAGAATTCTGTAATTACACAGTGAAAAGAGGTAGTAGTTTAATTTTTTTTTTTTTAAAGTTATATTTGAATTTAAAGAGAGATTTGTGAAGAGAATTGATCTATAAAAAAATAAACCCTTATATTTTCATTCATATTTTATTTTTTATTTACAATTTTTTCTCTAAATTTAAGAATAATAAATTATAAAAAAATGACTCCAATTTTAATTTCTTCTAATTATTCCATTGTATTCAATTTCTAAAACTCCAAATTTTTTTTTTTAAAATGCATAATTATACATTATAACATTTTTGTAAAAAATTAAGTGGGCTCCCATACCTGGAGACTTAATGAGAGGGATGTCATCGCGGTCGTCGAAAGTGGTCGTAGTTGATTTGGGGCCATTCTGAGTCAGACCAATGAAGTTTTTTGATGCAGTAGTTTTCTGACCGTGTTTGAATTGAGAGAAGAAATCAACATGTTCTTCTTCACATGCCGGTGCCATTGCGGAATAGCTCTTTTAAGCAAATATAGATGCCGTTGTGTGAGCCACATGGTTACTGTTATCACTTGTTATTATCTATAAATATATAATATCTATATATATATATATATAGAGAGAGAGAGAGAGAGAATATAGAGAGAGAGAGATCCGAGAGAGAGATCGTGTAGAGAGAGAGAGAGAGGCCAAAGCATTTGCATTGTTAAGAACAGATGGTTGATGCGGATTTGAAAAATACAACGGTTGTCTATCAAAGGATCTATGTCCTTGGTCGGCCTGGATTTGTTGTCAAGAAGAGCTTGATTGGAGAAATTATAAGATCATTTATTTTTGGCAAATTTCACACGATTATGTGCAAATTTATTCTTGCCTGTAAAATGGATTAGACCCAAATTTGTCAAAAATCCAAATCCAATTTGATTAAGATAAACCCGAATCCATTTGAATCATTCTTAGCCATATTTTGATTATAGATGAACAAATCCAAATCAGATAATTTTGGATCTCTTCGATCCATCTATTTATTTTATTTATTGAGTTATAAATTTTGTATAGTTTTGATTTTTTTTTTTTCATTTTGTGTTTTCTTTCATTCAAAATTGAAGAATAATTGGAATCGGATTATCGGATCGGATCGAATTTTTGCATATTTAATTAATTTAATAAAACGGATTAAACTGGATTCAATTATTAAGATTGCCGGATCAAATTTTTTGCAAATGTATTTGGATTTTTCAGATTATCATTCGGGTTGGATTCGAATTAAATTCGATCTTATTCACAACTTGTTTATCCCTTAACATTTAGAAAATAATCAATAATCCCACATGATTTGTGAACCAAAAACACAACACTATTTTTTAGACTAAAAGTTGAGATTGAAAATATGAATGTTTTGGTTTAACTTTTTGACTTTTTATTGAAAAAATGTGTATTAAAAAAATTGTAATAAATTAAATTGTGTAGGGAAAAATTAGTATTGGAAGTTGTGGGCAACCGTAATTGTTGACTTGAATAAATAGTGATAACTTTTAATTTTTAAAATAATTATTGGACTTTTTTGAATTTTCCAAACTTAGCCCTAGAATTCTATTGACAAAACATAAAAATTAACCTTTATGCTCTCATCTTTTTCCTCTCTCTCTATGAAACTAAACCTATATATATTATCATAATATATTTCTTTCTTCTTACCTTCCATAACTGTCAACTATAAGCAAAATTCCATTTTAAATTTTGCAAGCAAACTGTCATAACCGCCAATGAGAACACAATCCTTAAACAGTTTTGAACCTTCTCCTTTCACCACCCCAACCCCGCACAACCTTGTGTACGATTCTAGAAGAGAGAATAGATAAATTTACGTAAAGAGAGAAAATAATTATGGCAGAGGGCTTGGCAAAAAGAGTGAAGATGAGGGAGATTGGTGTTCAAAAAATGAAAGGTGATCAAGCATAAGTATTTGTTGAGATCATGATGAGATATTTTTGTGGTTATTAAATATTTCAAATTCATGCATGACCATAAGCTTCCTCTGCTAGTGGGTTGAATACATCGTGAACAACCCACTGGTTTCGCTCGCAATACGTAACTTCATATATTAATAGTATATTTATATATATTTGCATATATATATTAAATATACTATTATGTGGTGTGTAAAATTCTATTTTTTTTAATAAGATTAACCTTTGTGTACATAGAATTGTGGTGGTGGCTTTTCATTAAGATTGAATTCAATAAATTGTGGTGATATAAAAATGTGGAAAATTGAATACAAAAATCATGGTGTACATTATATTAAATACAAAAAATGCTTTCCCATTAAAAATTACATACAAAAAATGCAATAATTAAAATTAGTGGTGGTGTTAAATTAAATTAAAATATAATTAAAGATTTAATAAAAATATAATTAAAAAAATTAAATAAGATACTAGAATTACAATAAATAATTAAAAATTTAGAATTTGATTGTAATTCTGGAATAGTTTGAAGTGCGCCAAACACCAATTAACAAGAATTGTTTATTTCTAGTTAAAAAAAAAAAAGAAGAAAATGTTTAATTTCATTAAAAAGTAACAAACTTTCCTTATAACAGTGTCAATGACATTTAACAGTTCTTATACTTTGAAGCGAGTTAAGCATTATCTTTAAAAAGCGAGTAAGCGGTTTAGTTTTATACATTAGAAAGACAATTTGCAAGAGTCATAATTAAAGGGGGGATTTATTGAAGTTTCCCCTCCCCTTTTTTTATTTATTTTATTTTTAATTGAGAATTACAATTTGAGATCTTTCATCATAGCTATTATTAAAATACAATTCAATAGAAAAGAGTATCTTAGTGCACTTTAAAACATTGAAACAAGTATCTGAATAATTGAAAATCCTTGATTGGGGAGGTGGGAGCCAGAATGTTCGAGGCCAGGGCTATCAACTGGACGGAGTGGGGTCGAAACGCTTTGTACTAACACCGCCAGCCTCCCTAATTTTGGGTGGGTGGAAGTAAGAATGAACCATTGCCAAGGCTATTACTTGGTGGACGTGGGTCGAAAAGTTTTCTCAAACAGTAGCCTGCTAGCTAACTTATTGTGGGTGAGCAGAAATGACCGACACCAGGGCTATTACCTGGTGAGTGTGTCGAAAGCTTTCTCAACCATCAAGCCTACAGCTCCCTTAATTGGGGGGTGGAGCAGAATACCAATGCTAAGGCTAATACCCGGTGGAATGGGATCGAAAAAATTTTGGCACCGGGCAA